AAAAAAAAAACCAAAAACTTACGTCCAGCAGAACATTTGGGGTATTTTATTTGTTTATTTTTACATGTTGCTTGCAGGCCATTTTCTGACACCATTCCTTCCTCACATTCAAATTCGATGGTCTGCCCATTTTCAATCTCAGTGGTTTTGTTGTAACGTATATTATTAAAAGTCATTTCTGTTTGTTGTAGAATACAGGATCCTAGAGAAATTCAATACAAAAAATTTTATATTGTATGTTAAAAAATCTAGAAAGCAAAATATAATTTCATAATATTAATGCATTAATCAATAATTTGGTGATTTGATGATTATAAAGCACAGGTATCTGAAGCCCAGAACATGTCCTTACTGATTCCTAGTCAAGGTACAATCAGGCTGGAAAATTGGCACAATAAATCAATCAGTCACCAATGAAGATCTGTAACAATCTAAGTCCTAACTGTTGACTTTTTATAATAATGTAGTCTTACAAATAAGGGATTACTTGTTTTTGTTTCTGTGTTATTTCTTCCCTATTATAGCAGATTTGTCATCCTGTAAATCTTTGTTAATCTTTATTGTTCATAACAAAAACTGAAATACTGCATGACTTAATAATATACCTCTTGCGGTATTTTAGTAGCTGTGCGGTATCATATCGCATACTTGGATGCAGTAAGATACCACTTAGTGAACTGCCCAGGTTCGAAGTTCGCGGTCAAACTTTAATTTGAATGTTCGACCGCGAACTGAACAGGAGGGTGTTCAGCCAATCACTAGTGTCTATTAACAAAAGTGTTTCTGCTTGTAATTGAATATCAACTACTCACTTTGTAATATTTACAAATAAGCATGTACAGATTAAAATGTTGTTTTCTCTCAAGCAGTTGGGGGTATTCATGCTATCATACATAATAGTTGCATTTTAATATCTTTTACCATTACTAAAGTTTTAACAAAAAGGATGACGGCCAGCGTAAGACTAATTTAATCATTAGTAGTAGTAGGAATAGTTCACTATTAAACTGCCCACAGTGACTAGATTAGTCTTATATAAGTTTTAGCTGTGCTGTCTAAATACATTTTGGGTTGGCACTCTTGTTGCTGACATGTTGACTATCAAACTGGGTTTTTTACATATTACTGGTCTGTAATGGATTTTACAGGCTATACTGGCAAATGTAGCTTGCAAATGTGAAAAATGAGGTCTTTCGACTCACCTGTAAATTCCACATTTTGGAGTACAATAAAGGACACAGGTAACTTATTTATACACCAAGGGTTATAGACTTGTAATTTAAAGTGACTGGATACTGACAAACTTTTGAGGGCGTGCCTCCCTGGGGCACCTCCCTTATAATCCTAACCCACTCTGAGAGTGGTTTTGTAGCAAGCAATGCAAAGAAAGTAAAAAAGGAGTGTGTCCTGTACTGTACTCCAAGATATAGAAATGTATAGATAAGTCAAATTCCCTCTTATCTTAGCTGTACAGTACAGGACACAGGCAATGTATTCCTACACAATGGGACGCCCCAAGGTACTGAACATAAGGGAGGGAAACAACTAGGCAACAGAACTCTGCCAATTCTCTCAACAACAGGGGTAAAAGACCCAGGTTCAGAGTGCCGCTGCAAGAACTTTGTGGCCGAAAAACTGCATCAGTAGAAGATTGAACATCTTAAAAGAGTAGTAATTGAGCGCTGGGAACAATAATCAAGTATAAAGCCGCTAGCATAAAGGCAACCTTTCAACCCAGTATGGAAATATAAAATGAGTATGCAGCGCTTCTATATGTATAATAAAGTGATGGAGAAGAAGAATAATTAAATAATGAATTATATAATGCACAATAACATATATTAAATATGTTAGATAACTCAGTCCTTTATAATAAAGTGATTAAGTGCAGGTGTTCCAACAGTCCATAATCAAGAAAACCGTGACTCTTGTGTTGTTGTGAATGTACAAATAATGCACTAACCAGATAGCGCATAAATTGCGCATGGAGCAATTAAGACCTGCTCCTGGTGCTCTGGACTTATGATACCAGGCAGATGTCATCAGCAAGTCGACCACTAGATGTCACCAGTCTAGATGTCTTCTTAAGCATTCCACCCGGATCATCATCAGCAGAGGAAAAGGGGAAGCCATATATCTTCCAAAACCTCAGCCCAATTTTGAAGGTTCCTGAGGTTTTGGAAGATATATGGCTTCCCCTTTTCCTCTGCTGATGATGATCCGGGTGGAATGCTTAAGAAGACATCTAAACTGGTGACATCTAGTGGTCGACTTGCTGATGACATCTGCCTGGTATCATAAGTCCAGAGCACCAGGAGCAGGTCTTAATTGATCCATGCGCAATTTATGCGCTATCTGGTTAGTGTATTATTTGTACATTCACAACAACACAAGAGTCACGGTTTTCTTGATTATGGACTGTTGGAACACCTGCACTTAATCACTTTATTATAAAGGACTGAGTTATCTAACATATTTAATATATGTTATTGTGCATTATATAATTCATTATTTAATTATTCTTCTTCTCCATCACTTTATTATACATATAGAAGCGCTGCATACTCATTTTATAGAAGATTGAACATGTAAGCAGGTAACATTTTAAAAAAGTCTGAACAGAAGACTGGGTGGTGGCCTTACAGAGTTGGGCAACAGAGGCTTGGTGCCAAAAACTGGCCATAAATGAGTATTTTTATTTTCATTTAGCCAGCGGGTTGAAAGAAAAAAAAAGACCTGATTCCCCCATCCACACATTCGAGGTGGATGGGGGAAATCACTCACGCTGAGCTATTGTGTTCTGACAGTGGGGAGACTTCCCCGCCATCAGAACACACTGATCTGTGCTGTGCTATAGCAGTGCCATTTATCCGTCAGAGTGGTTATAGAGGAGTCGATCGGTAGATTAACTTCTGTACAACATGCGTGCACATACATTGGTTGAAATTTGGCCCGGTCCCTGCTGAACCAGCCAAATTTTGATCCATGTATGGCTGGCTTAATGGCCCTGGATGCTCCAACAGATCTGGTGAATTTTGAATCAGGGTACCATTTGTAAGGATCCGAGGAGTGGAGAAATAGGCATTCTAATTTTTTGATGGAAGCAGTAGCTTTCAGATACACTCTAGTGATGCTGACAATGTTCACACAAGGGTGGCTGCCTTCCACTGGATCAACTGTGGGTATAGGATTATAACTTTTTTTTTCTATGGTTGAACTGGATGGACTTTTGTCTTTTTTTCAGCCAGACTAACTATGTAACTATGAACAAAGTATTCATTGAGATGGAACACTGATCTAGGGTGTAATACAACCTTTTCATTGTGAAAAAAATTGCAGGAAAGTGTCACAGTTCTGAGACGCATCTAACAGGTGTGATGGCCACAAAAAAGGATGCTTTGCCGGTAAGAGACTCCAAGGGGATATCCCTGATGGGTTCAAAGGGTGTTTTTTGCAAGGCATGAAAACCTAAGATAAGGTCCCAGAAGAGCACAGGGTGCTGTAAGGAGGTTCTCATACAACAAACACCTTGCATAAAGGTTTTAATGTGGGAATGCAAAGCTAGAGGTCTTTGGGGAAAAGCATGGACAAGGCTGAAACTTGCCATTTTAGGATTCTGAGAGCTAGATTCTTGTCCAGACCTGTGTGTAAGAAGACCAGATCACAGGGTACAGAGTAGTTTCTGGGGTGAAATTGACTGCGCTTACACCATGCTAAATACGTTTTTCAGATACAATAATACATCTTCCTGAATGTGGCTTTTTTGCCTTCAGCAAGGTAGAATTTACAGACTCAGAGATCCCCTCTATCCTTTATGACCTAGGTTTCAACAGTCATGCCGTTAAAGCCAGAGACAGTGAAGCAGAGTGGAACATAGGGTCTTTGCGATAGCAAATTAAGTCTGTTGAGTTGAGACCAGGGTGGAAGCAAAATAACTTTACATCACTTTCGCTTTCAACATGAAACATGTCATTTTCACACCAAATGACCAGATGATGCAAATCATGCAGTTTTTTTTTTGTCTAACTCCTGTGTGTGAATATATATATTGTGAGGGATTAGCCCAGTAGCGGATTGTGCTTGACCCTCTGGATGAGCACGGTGAAAGAGGCTCAGCACGACAGCAGGATCTTGGTGAAGAAAGTTGAGCTTTATTTACAAGACTGGTGAACACAAGGTGCATATTCAAAACAGCAAAAAAAATTTAAACAGAAAATAAAGCCTTGCCACACTGGGCATCTAACTGCAAACCCAGGTTCCTATCTACCTGTCTGGATGTAGCCTATTGCTGCTCAGACACAGGGGCCCTGATTTACTAATGTGCATAGACACATTTCTGTGGGATAAAGTCTACTTTTCATTAGAGTCCGTCTACTTTTAGACGGCAAAGACATTTACTAACGAAAGAGTCTAACAAGTAGACTTAAAAGCGAATTTACTAACTAGGCACAATACAGAAATCAGTCTAAAACAGCAGAAGTTCTAGAAGCACATCTAACAGAATGAAAAATCTCTGCAGAAACATGTTCACATTGAAATTTGCTTTCCCAAATATCTACACTTTAACCACCTCCTGCCCGCCATATACTCCAATGATGGGCGCAAGGTGGTTCTCTCGTTCTGATAGGACGTCATATGACGTCCTTCCATTCTCACCGCGCATGCGTGGCTCAGGGAGTGTGCAGCGCGGCGATCGGCGGTGCGCTGTGTCCCTCGTACACAGCGGATCACCGATCCACGGAAAGAGCCGAAGATGTCGGCTTGGTCATGTGATCAGCTTGGTCCAATCACAGCTGATCACATGTAAAGGGGGAAATGCCAGTTATCGGCATTTCTCGCCTCTTGAGCTGTCATGCTGACAGCTTGAGAGGAGAGCCGGTAATCGGCATTCCGTGGAGGGGACATGTACACTGATCATCAGGGCAATGATGATCAGTGTGCCTTGATGATCAGTGTGGCCCCAGAAGTGCCACCTGTCAGTGTCCATCAGTGCTGAACAGTGCCACCTGCCAGTGCCCATCAGTGCCACATATAAGTTCCTACCAGTGCATATCAATGCCACATATCAGTGCCCATATGAGCTGCCTGTCTTTCAGTGTCACCCATCAGTGCCACCTATCAATGCCAATCAGTGCCACCTATCAGTGCTGCCAATCAGTGCTGCCTATCAGTGCCAGTCAGTGCCGCCTATCAGTGCCAGTCAGTGCCGCCTATCAGTGCCAGTCAGTGCCACATAACAGTGCAAGTCAGTGCCACCTATCAGCGCCATATATCAGTGCCATATATCAGTGCTGCCTTTTAGTGCCCATCAGTGATGCCTGTCAATGCCCATCAGTGCCACCTACCAATGCCTCCTCATCAGTGCTCTTCAGTGCCACCTATCAGTGTCCATCAGTGCATCTTATCAGTGCCCATCACTGCAGCCTCATTAGTGCACATCAGTGAAGGAGAAAAATCACTTATTTACAAAATATTATAACAAAAACTAAGAAAAAACTTTATTTTTTTTCAAAATTTTCAGTGTTTTTGGTTTGTTTAGCAAAAAAAAAAAACCCAGAGGTGATTAAATACCACAAAATAAAGCTCTGTCAAAACAATGAATAAAAATTTCATATGAGTACAGTGTTGCATGACGACGCAATTGTCATTCAAAGTGTGACAGCACTGAAAGCTGAAAATTGGCTTGGGCAGGAAAGGGGTATAATTGCCCTGTAGGCAAGCAGTTAAAGTAACTTCCACCTGGGGCACTTATAAGGTACTCAGGTGCTTCCTCCCACTCTTTCACCATGAGGGTTTGTTACAGGATGGTCTACACCTGGATTACTGTGTACTCCAACCAGACATGCTTGCCCTATTTCTGAGTACCTCACAAGGGAATACCCTCATTTGTAGCTATGGCAGAGACAAGGTGAAATGGATCCATGTTCAAACAAGTGTGCAGGTGAACCTTCACTCTGGTCCACACAACACTCAAACTCAATGCGTCTCTTGCATTGAAGAAGGAATCTGCCTTAACACCATTCCCCGCATCCATTTCTAGCTCTATTGCAGGCACACAGCTAGTGGCCTACTTGACAAGAGAAGAATTTTTTGCATCTACAGTATGTTAGAGTTTCTTGGGTAGATTATGGTCTTAATTCAGCCATCTTTGTCCACAGCAGAAAAGAAGTCCACCTGTGCTCCCACTCCAGTTTTTAACCAGAGTTGGACCCTAATATGCCAGTTCTAGAAGATGCTGAAACAGAGGGGAATGAAGAGGACATAGAGGCAGTGTTGGAGGAAGCTACAGAGAATTTTATTGAGGGAGCTTAACACACCATGCTTGCTAATGTTGGAAAGCTCTGTTTGCAAAAACCTTGACATTGTACAGATTAACTCACCTCTGCCTCGCCATGTCCCTTTGGGCACAAAAAGACCTACTAAGCCTAGCAAAATATTCCCTGTACATAAACAGAACATTATACTGTACCAACTGAAGATGGTCCATCCTTTGATAATTCTGTTGTCAGAAAATTTTAGATGCTTTTTAACCTGGCAGACCCAGCCCTCCACCAGCTCTTGCTGCTATTTCTGTATGTCAAACTGCAGCTAATGGGACCAAGACTATGAACATACAGTCCAACTCTTAATCAGTGTCTCTGTGTCAAAGAAAACTCAATAGTGCAGATGTCTTCTATTAGAAAAGTCTTCTTTCTTTCACAAGTGATAAACTCCTCTTCCTCCACTTAATACCCTCAAAAAAATATAAATCGCATATAGTGCATTATCCAAAACGCATGATATCCAGCACAATAAAAATGCACTTTCAAAATTAGTGCAAATATGTGAAAAAACACTCCATATTATAACAAAAACTAAGAAAAAACTTTTTTTTTTCAAAATTTTCAGTGGTTTTTGGTTTGTTTAAGAAAAAATAAAAAACCCAGAGGTGATTAAATACCATCAAAATAAAGCTCTGTCACAAACAAGTGATAAAAATTTCATATGGGTACAGTGTTGCATGACGACGCAATTGTCATTCAAAGTGTGACAGCGCTGAGAGCTGGAAATTGGCCTGGGCAGGAAGGGGGTATACGTGCCCGGTAGGCAAGCGGTTAAACAATATATTACATTTCAAAACATATTTTCAATGGGTAAAAAATAGTTTAAGGGAATTCATAACAGTCAAGAACTAGATGCTTTTCTAACGTCTATGCAGGGATAGAAATGCGCATGTGCAGGACACAATTTAGCCGTCTGCTGTGGGCGCTTTCTTTTTAGATGCCGTTTAATAGTAAATCTCTGTGTGGAGTCCTCTGCAAGTTGGCACTCGATCACGTCTACAGTGTTTAACAAACAGCACTATTTGTAGCTAGGCATATCTTTATGTATTCTAATTTGATTTTCTTAGTTCTACTGATTCTATTTTTATTTCTTATCCTTTATAATTATTTCTGTAATGGTTTTACATATTTAGAAGATCTAGATAATATATATTTTGACAGCTGAATTTAAAAATAAAGGTCGGCAAATAAAAAAAAAAAAAAAAATGGCGTGGGGTCCCCCCTCCCATGCATACCAAGCCCTTTGGGTCTGGAATGGATCTTGAGGGGATGCCCCATGCCAAAATTAGAAGAAAAAAAAAAGTCGTGGGATTCCCCCAAATCCATACCAGACTCTTATCCGAACATGCAGCCCGGCAGGTCAGGAAAGGGGAGGATGAAGGAGTGCCCCCCCCCTCCTGAACCATACCAGGCCACATGCCCTCAACATGGGGGGGTGCTTTGGGGCAGGGGGGCTCCCCCCCAAAGCACCTTGTCCCTATGTTGATGGGGACAAGGGCCTATTCCCCACAACCCTGGCCGGTGGTTGTGGGGGCCTGCAGGCGGGGGGCTAATTGGAATCTGGAAGCCCCCTTTATTAAAAGATACAAAATTTTCTGTAACTCCGGGGAAAGTGATAGCTAAGCTTGCGAACTATAGTGAAGAAAAAAAAAGGCTGGCATAGTTACATAGTTAGTCCAGCTGAAAAAGAAAAAAGTCCATCCAATTCAACCATAGAAAAAAAAAAAAGTTTTAATCTTATACCCACAGTTGATCCAGAGGAAGGCAAAAAACCCCAGCAAAGCACGATCCAATTTGCACCTGCAGGAAAAAAAATTATTTACTGATCCCCTGAGAGGCAATCGGATATTCCATGGATCAACTTTACCTATAAATGTTAGTATCTAGTTATTCTGTGTATCTAGGAAAGAATCCAGGTCTTTTTTGAAGCAATCCACTGAGTTGGCCAGAACCAACTCTTGAGGGAGTCTATTCCACATTTTCACAGCTCTCACTGTGAAGAAACCTTTCCGTGTTTGAAGATTAAATTTCTTTTCCTCCATACGTAAAGAGTGCCCCCTTGTCCTCTGTGTTGACCTCAGAGTGAATAACTCTACACAGAGTTCACTATATGAACCACTGATGTATTTATACATGTTGGTCGTATCCCCCCTTAATCGTCTTTTCTCAAGAGAGAATAAATTCAGTTCCTCTGCATTAATGTTTATTTGCATTTAAAAATCAGCCCTGACATACACTTCGCATTGCGAAAAAAATTATTAAAAATTTTGAAAACCGAGGCATTATTTTCAATGGATTTTCATTTGTAAACCAAAAATAACATTAACATTCGTAAACCGAGGTACGTCTGTATTAGTATTGCAATCCTTTGTATTGGGATCCATAGATCCAACATACATCTGAACTGGCAACACAGCACAACATTTGTGTCACATTGGAGATATCTGGCTAGTTACACTGACCTTGCCCAGGGACTTAGAGTTGATTCACACCACAGAAATACAGGCTGGATTGGGGTCACAGCTCAATGGATAAGTGGTTAGCACTGCTGCCTCACAGCACTAGGGTCGTCTGTTTGAATCCCAACCACGGCAATAAAATTGCATGTTCTCCCTGGGCGGATGCACTGAAATAGATGTGATGGCAGCATCTTTGCTTTCTGTCTAAATGATCCCTAGAATGTGAATTAGAATGAGGCCTTGTCTGTTCAAACACCTTCAAAGCTGCATCTTATGTGAATGTCAAACAATGGGATGAGATAAGAGCCTGGACTAATGATTGATTTGCTAATGCTGGTTTGCACTTCCCCCCTTTTGGGAAGGGTCTGTCAAGAGGAGAGAGAGAGAGAGATTTGGAGGGGAATCCCCACGCCAAAATTTAACAAAATAATGGCGTGGAGTCCTCCCCCAAATCCATAACAGACCCTTATCCGAGTATGCAGATACCGCATGCCTTCAAAGATTTTTTTCCTTTGTTGAATTGCCTGCTTTGATCACACAAGATGCAATTTAAAATTGCACTTTTGGTTGGCAATTTCACCGTATTTTCTGTAGATTTCCCAACGAGTTATTGCGTTTTCAATTGTGTTTTGCATTGCGATTTCTATTGTAGTCTATATGTGACATCGCTACAAAATGCAGAAAAAGTTAGACAACAACTACTTTTGAAATAGTGCTGCAGCAAATCGCATATGTTAAGACATTCACATTCATTAGATCCGATACAGGTACGATTTCAATTCCCAAATCTCACCTGAAATTGCACACCCTGGATGCGACTTGTCATACGATTTGCATGCCCAGCGACTTACAAATTGCATGGCAAATTGCACCCGATGTGACTGGGGGGCTAACACCACAGTCACATCTAATCCGATGTGGAAATCGGGCAACTTAAAGTGAAGTCGCACGATTTCAACATTGAATTGGATGTGAACAGAGCCTATAGTAGACAATAGGGTGCGACTTGGCCTACGATTTGCAAGTCATCTGTCATGCAAATCGCATGCCAAATTGCACCCGATGTGACCAGGGGCCACCCCAGTCATATCAAAGTGGATTTTGAAGTGGTGCGACTTACACTACGGTCACATCATGTGACTTACAGTGAAGTCGCATGATTTCAAAGTCAGGGGACATGCTGATTTAAAGTGCGATTTGCAAGACATCTGACACAGATCTCTCTGCAAATCGCATAAAAAGTAGTGTATTCATTACTTTATAAATCGTTGCGGCTCCGACTAAGTTTGAACCACACCAATATGAATGCTCTAATAGCGGTCACATTGAGTGTGACTTGGCATGTGATTTGCATTACATGCGATTTGCAAACCGTATGCCAAGTCACACCCTATTGTCCGCTATTAGAGCGGTCACATGGGTGTTTTTCCAACACTGATTTGTAAAGTAGTATATGTACTACTTTTGTAGCGATTTGCATAGATACCTGTGTCAGATGTCTTGCAAATTGCAAGGACATCGGCAACTTCACTGTAAGTCGCACAATTTCTAAATCGGCTTTGATGTGACCGGGGTGTAAGGCCTTTTTATGTTTGATTTCCTGAGTGTTTTT